CCTCTAAACCCAATAATGTAATATGTCAAATGAATTAGTTTGTCTGTTTCATTAGCAGGAATAAATGGAGAAAAGCGACCAGTAATCATGTCTGAGCAACATGCTTGGTGTTTTTATTTCAGAAATGATAGTTGATTATGAAAACCAGCCTTTTCATTTTTGATGTTTTAAAGACTGTATGGATGTTTCTGTATTTGTTAGATTGATGCTGTTTTCCTCTACATTTCATACATTATTAGTATAACAATTATTAATAATACTAATTATTAATAATAATATTAATATTAATCATATTGTTGTTGTTATTTCAGATGGGAAATTTCTGGAAATCCCATGCGCTGTAGAGCGTCAATTCAGTATCATCATTAATCAACTTTCACATGCAATATACAAAAAACTCAAGAGATGAAAAACATGTGATATTGGAAATTAAATTTTGGCTTTCACATGTGATGTCTTACATTTCATGTGAAATATGAAAAAAATGTCTAATTTTCATATGTGAAATGTGATAAATATGTGGAATGTGTTGCTCATGTGAAACTTACACGTGTATTTTGGAATGGATTATTTTACACATTAAAAAAGCTAAAATGGACTTTAACTTAAACCTGTTATATTATATAACCCACTTTACACTAGATTCATTGACTGAATAATTCACAACCTTATTTATTTTGTCATTATTTATTTGTTAATGTTTTTCTGCTGAAGTAATGCTAAAATTCTGTATGTTACACATATTACCAAATTATTATTATTAACATTCTACCTCACATGTTGGAGGGTTGCTACTCCTTCGTGCTGGTTTCTCATATTTCTCATTCTGTGTGTATGTATTCTATTACTTTGCTTCATCATGTTCCTCTGTGCTGAAACAGTGGCCCAGATCCCCATGGGGATCAGAGTGGGATCATCTAGTGCCGTCCCTGCCAGCCTCCAGATCCAACCATTACCCCTTCATTGTATATAAGGAGAGGAAGATCTTAATACAGGGAACTTTGACCTAAAGTGATGAAATATTCAAAACAATTATCAGTTGTACCTGGGAGCATTCATGCTGCAAGGTCCAGACTGACATTTTAAGCATACAAACATTTGAAATCTTTCCTTGTTTAAAGTGCCGTCCGAGTGAACAAAACAATTTCACTCCAATATTATTAGGGGGGGGGGGGGCAGAGGCCGAGACAGGTTCAGTTTTAAGCAGTAAATGGGCTTTAATTAAGCCTGAAAGCAGCGCTGGCACCAGCTAGTATGAAGAACTCTCATCATGGCAGTGTCACCCCCAATGTTTCTGATAAGCAAAAGCGGCAGAGGATCAAAGCCTCTAAGCGGCTCACTTTGCTCTGTCTCAGGTCTGCCTCAGGTCAGCTCGCCAGGCTGCTGCATGAACACTAGAGCCCCAGTAGAGCCCCAGAGCGCAGTGTTCATGATGCTCACTACGCATACTCCAATGCAACATAATTCTGTACATGAACCACCTGCTATGGAATCCATGCTATATGTCACTGCTGTTATATTTACACAATATTCCTCGCGGTGTCAAATTTCACAGTCATTCCACAAAAGCCCCCCCCAAAGGGAAACAATCCTATTCACTATAACCAAAACCTGTGAATCTACAGTCATGTTCCACCAAAACAACCAAACCCTGCTGATTTCCGCCACTTATCCGTCTGATGACTTATTAGTGGGAAATGCTTCCAGAGTTGAATGAGTGGGTGAGAAGTGGTGGGACTGGCTACAAATGATTATTTTGTCCTCCTGAACAATTATGAGTTGTAAGAACATGATGAAGATAACAATATGATGATACACTCCATGAGTGGACATCAACTTGTCTATTGTTATGGATTTCTACGGTATCTGTCCCTTTAATATTTATGGGTGTGAGAAATGTTGCAAATGAATGATCAGATTTATGGCAATACTGGATTTTTGCATCAATGTGATAAAGTACCTTTACTTGTTGTCAGGTATGTTTTTACTGGATTTACTGATTTTTTTCAATTTGTTTTACTCTAGTCTAACACAATACTTTATTATACAATAAAACAACATAATATCCAAAACATCCAATCCACTTCATACTGTTTCCAAATTAATTTGTTAATGCTCTGGTATGGATAATATGAACTATTTGTCTTGATTTATGAAATAAATATTTATCTTAAGGCTGCAGTTAAAATGTACATTAAATACAGATTCATTCTGTGCATTTTAATGATTTCTTTCGTCATAATAAAGCTATTCAGTTAAAAGAGAGAAAAGCAGCAGATGCTCACATTGGGATGGAATCAGAAATCATTTGGGATTTTTACTTGATACTCAATAATCATAGGAGATGAGTGCATTTCTTTCAACACAATGATTATCATGATGACAATGACATTCATCATCGTTTTAGATACCATTCCTCTATGTTGCAGATTGGCTTCCAGCCCCCTTGTCTTTTTTTTCAATATGTCTCTTAAAAATGTGAATTTTTGGTGCGAGGCAGCGGGGGAGAAAGGGGAGGTTAATCCCAGTTTAATACACTGATGCACAGCCCGGGACCGCGGCTGTGATGATTGTGTTATCTCCAGCCAACATTTGGGTCTCCCTCAATTTCAACCCGGCAGAATAGCTGGGAGAAAGTGCAGTTGGAGTGGAGGCCCGGGGAAAAGTGTATTAATAGCTGCAATAGAACTTCCCACAGCCTGTGCTCTCTGTAAAGCTGCCTCTCGTCACTTCCACTGGATTTGTTTGAACTGCTCACTCCATCCTCACTGTCAACCTTTTTTTCTGTCAACCAGGCTTATTCTGGACTCCAAAATTGCCACTGTTATTATTTTTTTCATACAGGTTATGCATATCTTTGGCAAACAGTACATTGACTAAATGCTGCCTTCAACTGCAGATGTGCAGAGTGTGCATCCGTCACTGTTAACGGGAGGCTCATCCCAGATGTGTATTGTTTGTCTGTAGCCACAAAGGTTACCTATCCATTACACCTGCCTTATGAAGGAAATGTATTTCCTACTAGCTTAACAAACAGCTTGTAACATGTTTACAATGTATTCTGGAAATTATCATACATATTTACATTGCAGCAATCTACTGAATATAATGACTATTTTGCAGCTTTTCATACAGTTTCCAAACATTAACATCTATCACAACTGAATATAATATAAATGATAACATATTTTGTCATACATCATCTTGTCGCCGAGATATGATGATATAGTCATGATCTTATGTGTAAAATATGCATGTATGTGGAGTCATGTCCTATTATGCAAATGTCATGTGAGAAAATGCTAATTGAAGAGTAGAAACGCATGCTATTCACTAATTATACATTGTTTCAATACAAAGATTGAATTGAATAAATCTCATAATGCATTGTTTCTTATGTGTGTTTGTAAAACAATCTTTGACTGGTTTGAACACTTCTACAGTTGCATTTAGTTGACTTCCTGCTGTATATCACATGGAAGAACAGTATAGCTTCTCTGACGAAAAAAAGGAAAACTGTATATACAAGGCCTCCTCATCCATGTTTCACACCTTCTTCATTCAGCCTAATACCTGCTGCTAAAATACACCCTGGCTCTCCCTGAGATTCTGCCAACATGCCACCGAAAACAATCCCATAAAAGCAAAAGAAATGAATATTTAAAAATACAATCTAAACAACACGAGTGGAAACCTTAAAATCTCATGAATTTGCGCTGCGGGCACCACACCACGAAGTGAGCTGCTGAAAGATGAAAGTGAAAAGAAATAAAAGGCTCAATTTAATCTGCTTTAAAGCCCTTCAACAGAATGCATGTGCCTGGAACTGTGAGAGTGAGGGCTGATAGGGGATAAATATATTTCTTACCATGCCTTCGAGCTATTACACCCCTCTCCAACATAGACGCCATTCACCAGACACCCGTTTCATTACCAGCTGTAATAGGCTAAATCTTCAAATTATTAAATGCCAGGCCCGGATGACAGAAAGACACATGCTGATCTTTTGAAGAACATGAAAAGGAGGACCGTTGACGGCGTTTGAAAAAAAAAATGTCACCTGTCAAACCAGTGGTCAGGAAACACTGGGAGGTACAGGCCTGAAGTGTAATTACCAGGCAGCTGATCCAATCAAACAGCATAAGATAAACAACAGTAAGGAGGTCATTATGCTGCTGCTGTTCTTTAAGGGAGGCCACAGCAGCTATGAACTCACCCAGCACACATTGTCTTACAAACACAAATATAAAGTTATGTCTACTGTGTAAAACTTAATAAATAAAACAAGTATCTCATAATATATTAAGCTGCTAAATGCTTAATATGTCTCAATTTTAAAATTGAGACATATTAGAGAAATGAACCTTAAATTACATCCAAATCATTATTGCTTCAAAGAATCGCTTCAACGATCAAATTTGATCGTTTTGCTAAAATGATTTGTTCTGAGCACCTTTCTTTAAAATATTACTTGCAAAAACCTTTAAGATGAGTGAGTTTTAAGTTAAATCCATTTTATGAATTTAATACGTTTATATTGTCGGTTTATCGCATTATTTATTCTGCTTTAATTTCAATACACTTTTGGTTCGGTGCCGCTGCCGCAAATCGAACATTGTTTTCGGGTGAACTTGACGCACACACACTCGCGGGCCGCTGTGAGGTCGCAGGCCCCTGGCTCCTGTTAGTGAGGGGTGTCCCTGTCACGCCGCCTGTAATTGATATTGACTGGCACATCGGTCATCTGTCAGCATTGCTTTCAAGGGAGCGTTTAAGCAGCGCCACGGGAGCCCGATCCACTGCCCCGCTCCTCATAAATAATGAGCTGCTCCTGGGTCTGCTGGGAGAGCAGTTTAAAGGAGGAAAACCCGACGCGACAAAGCGCTCATTTAGGCCCAATTTGTTGACAACTGGTCGCGTAGACAGTAGTCCAACCTGCAGCTGTCCACGCACTCTTTCGCTGCCAACACGGCCTGGCTGTGTGCTCTCCTCTGGCCTACCTTTGTCGCCGAGGATGCCGTCGATGCTGTGTTTGGTTTTCTTCTCTCCGTCTTCATCCTTTTTATCACACTCGTCCTCATCGTCTTTTTTTCCAAATCGAGCTCGAAGTACACGGCTGATCGAACTCACTGCAAACAGAGGCAACTTCAGTCGGCGAAAAGCACAATATTATTATTATTATTGTTTTTATTATATTATTATTATTATTGTTGTTTTTATTATTATATTATTATTGTTGCTATTATTATTATGACCATCCTTGGCCTTCATTTTCAACACAGTTTTACTATTAAGTTAAATCAGAAAATAGCGGAGAATGAAAGGTTTAATTAAATGCGGCTTACCAGAGGAGGCCTCACCTGAAGGGACTGTGCTTCTGTCACACACCCCGTCCTTCAGCAGCTTATCCCGGATCTCCCAGCTGAACATGCCGGGGTTGTCCCGCTTGTACTCCTCTATCCGTTTCTCCACGTCCGGTGTGGCTACCTGCTGCAGGTGGACCAGCGTGACCGAGGGACAAACAACACACTATGTAATGAGTAGGAGTCGGCTACAGGCGGCTGAAATGTGTCCGTCCGTAAACATGTAGAAAATATGAAATGCCGTTAATAGGCTGCTCAAACAGAATTATCGCTAAATATAAAATAAATAAATATAGGCTAGACTAATCTCATTTCTCATACAATATAACATGCATAATATAAGACAAATAATTATAATTATAATAATAATAAAAATGAAGATTATTATTATTATTATTATCTGGTTCTTCTTACCCTGGGCTTGCTGCCTCCTATCGCTCCGGGCCGGATGGACCCGGTCTCCTGGTACCGGCAGAGGATTTTGGAGACACAGCCGTGAGAGACCCGCAGCTGTCGGGAGATGACGCATGGCCGGATCCCATGGTGGGCCATCTCCACTATCTTGTGTCGGATGTGGTTGGGCAGCGGCCGGCCGTTAATGAAGACCCCTCCAAGCTGGTTGACCCGTCCCTGTCCCAGAGGAGTGGACACTGTGGGCGACACATGGTCAAACTCAGCATGGAGCTTTAACATTTTATCATGAGGCACTTAAAGGAAAATAGTCCCGTTAAAATGTTGTGTGGCCTGATTGGAATGAAATGTAGGCCTAAACATATTAATGTAGGCCTAAACTTATTCTATCAGTTATTCAACTTACGTCCGAATAGTAGAAACAAATGAACATTTTCGTTAACAGATTGCATTAATGGATGGCACTTCACAGTTCCATCTCTCAAGAGGAGGTGAAGAGCCCCTTCTATCCGTCTGCATTATTCACCATCACATTTTTGTAATATTGATGTAATCCGCAGTTTCTCCTTCTCGTTTTCTATTTCATTGATTTGATTTCTAGGCGCAGGGCACTTAAAGAAATCCCACATTTTAGTTGTATTTAGGTTTTAGACAATTGTATAAATGTGTTGACGAAATGGTCACTGGACTGGATTAATAAATGAAGTGCATTCTACGACATTTTATAATTAGCCAGTAAGCGAATAGTATAACTTATTATTATAATTTTAGTAAGACAACAAAGACATATTTAATGTGTGGAAAAATGTTTTTAATACGAGTCGTTCATGGCAAAAAATTAAAAGTTAAGGTAGACTACTGTAGTCTACTGCCAAGTTAAAGTCTTTCATGTTTAGCCTATATTTTAATTTTCAATTTCAAGTCATGAGTCTCCTCGTAACATCTCCTCTACCAGTCTAAAAGGCCGACCAGGCTGCTGTGAAGCCGGGTCCCCCAGCTGCTTCTCCGCAGAGGCCTACCTTCCAGCGGGAATCCAGTGCGGGGATAGTTCTGTCCGGGATTCGGGCGCATCATCCGCGGTACCGTTCCTGGCAAAGACGACATTGTACCATTCAAAAAAACAAGTTACAAAAGGAAAATAAAACAAAAAAGACGGACACGTTTTAGATGTCCAGTTCAAGTGTAGACTTGTTGGTCACACGTGTTTTGAAGGTGGGAATGTGTGACGGATCTAGTGTGTGGCGGAGGAGAATAAAGAGATTTAATAAGCAGTATGAAATCCCCGAAGCAGTCAAGCTAGCAGGACTCGTGGAGCAGGTTGAGATAATTCGGCGGCAAAGTGCAGCGCTGTGTGTGGAGCGGCAGGGAGCCCTACACC